TAAAGTATTACAACAGTCTTCATTCTTCTGCCTTTTTATATAGCATTTTCAACTATCCTAGCATGGTTTAACTTTGTAAGGTTAAGTTTGAAGGCCAGAAAGTACTCGAGCAAGAGAACAGGAAAACATAGAATTCTGGAATATGTTTATGCTCTATTTTCCCTAGCATTTACGGGTATCAAAACATACTCTTATTATTCGTCGTGATAATAGCCTTCCTTCATTAAATTTACTGGGCATGTATTGTCCAGGTCAATACAAGCGGACAGTTTGTTGGTATGGCTGAGATGGTGGGCCCTGTTGACTTCAACAAAAAGGTTGAGTACTGGCAACAGGACAAGTGGATGGGTTGTTTCCCTGTGAAGTGGCACATTGTGAAGGACGTACCTAATAGTTTGTTGAAGCACATCACGCTTGAATATAATGAGAACAAGCCTGTCACAAACAGTAGGGACACTCAAGAGGTGATGTTTTTTAAATGCATAATCATGAGAACGAAATGCTCTCAGATGCTAATCTATTTGAAAGTATCATAATTTGATTCTGTTACACAGATTAAGTTGGAGCAGGGAATGCAAATGGTTAAGATATTCAAGGACCACACTAGCAAGCAGTGTATCCTTGATGATTTTGAGTTTTACGAAGACCGTCAGAAGAGAATTCAAGATAAAAAAGCCAAACAACAGCTGTTCCAGAAGCAGGTTACTTTGGTAAATTAACTCTTAAAGCATTATAATTTCTGTTTTTTTTGGTACATCGGAATAATTATAATTTCTGTTTGCTCTTTCATAAGATCCTTTTGGACTTGGTTGGAAGAGTTTTTTTTTTTTCTCGAGAAAGGGGTGAATTGTACCTGTCATTGGGTGCTGGGGGTTTGTAGTGGTTAAGAGGTGTAGCCATAAAATCCACCACTTTCCTGCACAATGCACTTGGTTTTTTTCTTAGTTCCCATTTGACAATATGGCAGAACTCAAAGTTTGCTGAGTTATTTGATAGGAAAAGTGCTTGGTATATTCATTTCTGTGTTCTATTTGACTACTTTTGCTCTTATTCCGATAATTTGCCATCAAAATATGCTTTCCTGATTATGGCTATAAAACAGGGTCATTCATCTGTGTCACTATGTTCTTTACTTGCTAATACATATATCGAATCAGTATAAAATAACCATATTAATTACAATATTGTCGTCAATTTTCCAGAATGAGTACCTCCCACCATTTTCAATGAACCAAAAGTAATTTTTTCAACCACCTTCATTACCATGATGTTGTTTGAATCAAGTAGGAATTTAGGTTATAGTATTCTATAAAACATGCAGGCATGCCAGGGAAAAGCAACGGAGGAGAAAACGAAAGAAACTTCAAACGGTGAACTCAAGCAGCCTCATAAACCAGCGGAATCAGCAGTCACAGAAGCATGTGAATCCACTATCCAGAAAACAGCACATGTTGGTACTCAAAGTAATGGGGATATCAAACCTGCAGAAAGCGGCTTGGTTGCAAATTCGGAAGATGTGAAAGCGATTAAGCAAATTGCACCATCAGAGAGCAAAGCTGCAGCAGATGGATCTTAGGTCGTGTTTTATATATTCCATGAAATAGGGCTGACCATGGGATTGAAGTCCCTTGGAAGGTTAGCAGATGCAAATTTTCTTGGTTGGTCACCCTGCTTGGGCACATAATTCTAAAATGCTGCAAATTTGCCGAATGTCATCAAGCAATGGAAAAGACATGAATCTCGTGGTTTTCCTTATGATGGGGGTGTGCTCCTACAGTTTGATTAGCTTCATTCTAACTGGTGTTTGATGATCATAGGGTTTGGTTTCTAGAGTTCCTCTACCTTTTGTTTTCATTTATTATTATCTGTTTGGTGGCTGTCGTTTTCTTTCGGTTTGATCTTTGCTGGAGAATCTTTCATTTTATCCTTCTGTTTAGTTTTGAGTTTACCCTTTTTTTAATATGGTTGGGAATCAATCCTCTTGTATATGGACATGATACTTGTGGTGGCGGATGTTGCAAGGTGGAAGTGTTGTCCTGACTATCGTGTAGGAGCACTATAGAATCAATTTGTAGAAGGCATTGGCACTTTGGCAGTGTAGTTGTTTTTAAAAAACCGTTTCTTTATCAGTGAGTCGAACTGATACCGGAGCGCTACATGACTACATCTCTTTGTTCTATGATTCTATCGAATTGAGCATTGCTCGTTGCTTTTCGGCCTGAAAATGAAATTCTTTAGAGAATATAATAATTTAATTCTATGTTCGAAACTAAAATTAGATCCGACACTCTGTTGGTTTGTCAGACGGACTTGAGACCGTGTACCTTGTGACTTGTGAGCATTGCACGGGCTAATAAGGGGTATTGTATCACCTGAGAATAATGCTTTAATGTGAGAAATACTTTGAAGTCGTTGAGCATTGTAAATTGGGAGAAACAACCACTTCAGCCGGAATTTCAGAATCAAGTCAATCAACCAATTCAGCTGATTTTAGTGTTATCAAACAAGTTCTAAACAGATCAAAATTTATGAAATTTGAAATCATAGATTGATAGTTTTCAATTATTCAAGTCCTATATTAACCTATTTTATCTTTGAAGATCCGAATTTATTAATTAATTAGAAAGAAAATATATTTGCATCACATATATACGCACTAAATTTGATTGAGATTGCCCGAGTGAAATTGAATCACTGGTCGTAGCGGTATGAAGGAATATATCAGAAAATCTATAATTTGAATTCTGAACCCGTAAATTGATGGCCGTCTCCCCCTAGGGTTAGGAATTGTTTTTCTTCGCTTTCGTCTTCGACGAAATGTGATTTTCTTGTGTGGCTTTCGTCGGTCTTTCGTGAGGCTCTCTTCTTCGACAGACCGCAAGACCTATATGATGGCTAAAAGTTGTGTATCCCTAACAACAGGTAGGGAGTTTATGGGATGCCGTTCATAGTTGAGATCAGAAGGTCATGAACGAAGCGTTGAGTTAAAGACTGGAACAGATCTGGACCAGAGGCAAGAAGTTACAATACTGTTGGATCGACCGTTCCCCTTCTGAACCGCCGCCATGGAGTGCACGAGAGTTTAGGGTTTGGAGGTAGTATTTTAATTTTATTGTTTTCTTGCTATTTGTTTTTCATGATCAGACTATTTATTTTTCTGTTGGTTACTTTTATTGTTGTAAGACCTTTGCATTAGGATTGAGTGATGAGAGGTCTTCTTTAATCGTCATTGGCTCATTTATGTCCATTATAGAATCAACGAGTTATACTGCTTTTTTGGAGGTGATTGACTCTAAATCTGGTTCGAGGGCTGACGGTTGCATGCGGTCCTTTGTCGTGTTACCCTCAATTTCAATGTTGTGATATCAATTTAAGCCATCTGTTTTGATGATTAAAAAAATCTTAAAATATTGCTAAAATGAAATTTATAAAGATAAATACTCCCTCCGTCTCATTGGAATTTGTCAACTTTCCCTTTTTGGTCGTCCCAAAAAACTTTGCCACTTTCTTATTAAAGCAACTAATTTGTGGTTCTGCACATTTATCTCTCCTCTGTACAAATTTCAATCACGCAGTTTTTACTATTCTAGAAAAACTTTGCACTTGGCAAAGTCCATCGGGATTGAGCTAGTATGATTTAAGTAATTATAAAAATAACTTTGTGATCTGGTACAGTTAAATATAATACGTAGTATTAGTCTTTAAAAGTTACTCCGTACTAACATAATAACTTTGTAAAACGTGTCATATTTTAACCACCATATTTATTTATTTATTTATTTATTTATTTCATGTATGGAGTATATGAGTATTTCATGCATAAAGATCTAAACCAATGTATTTATAATCGAGATTAAAAGTCCTTTGGTAACCCCTATTTTTAATTTGTCATTCTTATAAGTAATTTTTTTTATCAAATACGTGAATTTTGACTCAACACGCTAAATTATAATAGTCAAAATAAGTGAGTTGTGAGTTAATTTTTTGGCTGAATTGATTAACATTATTGTAGAATACTACGTATTATTTTAGCTATTCTCATGTAATTTTTTCTTAATTTTATTAATAAAATGTATCTTAATTTATTTTTCATAATTTGGTAGATTCAACCAATTTAGTCATTTTATTTTAATCAAAGTTTCATAAATTTCTATTCCAAAAAAAAGTTTCATAAAATTCAGTAGATTCGACAGATTCAACCAAATTAAGTTATACTAAATCTATTTTGAGTCCTAAATCAGATCGAGTCAAATGTAAACCGACCAAATTGTAATCATGCAATTACAAAATATATATAAGTCAGACATTTATGAGACAAACTTAGGGAGTTTCATTTTCATTTATCCTAGTGCCGCAAAGGATCCCACCTACGGTGGTGTAAGGGGGGTCGGATGTACGCAGTCTTACCCCCTGTACTAAAGCACAGAGAAACTGTTTCTGGATGACCCGTAGTGAAAATCACGTCCAAATTTCATGGTCTGACTGTCGCTTCATAACAAAGAAGCGCAGACAGTTTAGTGAGCCATTTTACTTTATTCCATCATATTCTCAAGCAAAAAAATAATGAATCTTTGGCTCCATTGCAAATGATAGAGTGTTTCGAGAAAATTTAAACACAATGATTTTCATCTTTTGACTTAAAAAAAGTTGAAATGAATGTTTTCAAATGCTAGTTTCTGTTTAAATTAAACATTTCAAAGCAAAAAGCCGAACGCAATTGAGGGTGGTTTAAATTGCTTTTCACTTTTTTCTATTACACAAAAAGACTATCAACTTTTAAGAATCTTTTTTGAGAGTATGGCTTTGGAGAGAGCAAAATGGAGGGCGGGTATTCGTGTGGAAGAGTGATCTTGTATCACCTTTTCTCCTCTTTTTTTTTCTTTTTCTTTTATATTTTTATCCTTATATATAAATATTACTTTATTCTTTTTATTTGATCTTTTATATGTATATTCATCTCCTTTATATTATCTTTTTTTATAATAGTTTATCTTTTTTATCTTTATTTTCGTTCTTTTCCTTTTGGTGATATCATATATCGATTCATGTTAGCCGACCCCAATATCGTTTGGGACTAAGGTTTGGATGTTGTTGTAATCAATTTCTTCAAAATAAAAAATGACTTTTAAAGCAGAAGCAGTCACACTCCTTGTTCAGAAGCCACCGGACATGACACATCCGAAAATTTCATAAAAAACATCCTAATTATCTTCATGAAAGAAACACGTGAACAAACATCTCAGTAGCCGATGATTCCACAGAGTATGCTCCCACAAGGATCACGTGGATGGAGTTTATCTTTGACAAAATAACAAATCTTCCTGCTTGTGCTCCGTGGGTTGATGATTAAAAATGTTAATTTCCACCTACTCATCAGTACCAAAAGCTGCTATCTTTGGTATTCTCAAATCAAATTCACCATATTGATTTCGTATCACCCGCTGCAAGAAATCCGGCACAAGTTTGTGAGGAGTAACAATGGCTGGAAGCATAAGAAGAATTACAGGGTTGGGTTTACTATCAGCAGAAGAAAAACTCTGTTTGGGTAGTAGAAAGTGTAGGAGAGGATTTGCTTCTTTGATTGCTGAGGAGAATGCGAAGTCATCGTCTTCTGTCAATCTCTTCTCTGCTATAAATCAGGCTCTTCACATCGCCTTAGAGACTGATCCGCGGTTAGTACCACTGTTATAGTTTGGGTTTCCTTATCTTAATACATTCCACTTTATGTATAGGCCATTTTCACCAAGTCCCCTTTATCTTTTTTTTTTTAGTCAGGGATTTCCGGCTACTTTTGGTCTTTCCTGTCACTTATTTGGCAACTCCATGTACATTTACAGTTGATTTTTGTCAGATTAGTTATAGTGCTAAAAGTGTCAAGAAATCCATAGTTGTACGCCAAAAGTGAAATACTCTCGTATCCAGGCATCACATGATCACCTATTATGTTATACGGAGTTATTTTAGAATGTAAGATGCACATACAGGCATAGACTTTTCCCTCCAAAAACCCCTTCCGACCATCCAAAACTTTCCATCTAAAATGATCCTTACACGACACTGAGTTTGTATGTGATCTGAAATGGGGGTACTTATTCATTAGTTGACTATAAATTCCCACCTTTATTTGATCTAATTTTAGAAAGTTAATTCTGAACACAATATCAAATCAATCCAAATGAGGCCCAAGTGGTACTTACGGTGCACATTTTTTCTGTGTGTTTATTAAGTGATCTGATATGGGGTTCTTCATTTAATCACTTGAATTTGAATTTTCCTAATTGAAGTTGAACACTTTTCTTGCTCAAATCTGGAGTGGGACGTGAATTGAAGCTTATCCATAAGTAATTGATTTATTAGATATATAAGTCATCACATAATCTTATGCAGAGAATCTTGAGTCGCCAAGATAAATTGAACTTATATTGCACATGCGCGATGAAGCTATTTCATTCTCAATTTTTGTGACCTTGTCTTAACTTAAGCCTTTATTGGGATCAATTTGTTCACTTCTATTTGCTTATGCCAGCATAAGTTCCACTTAGAGAAGTAGAGCCCACTTGGTATGAGTTATTGGCTGAATCTGCTTTCTGAAAAAGAAAAGTGATTGGTAACATCTATTTCAGCAAAATATGGAAGTCATAGCATACTTCTGCTGATATGCAGCATAAACCGATTATGGCTCCAAAGGGAGCCTTACCATTTTTGTGTGTAGTGATTTCAATGATATAGTGAATTCATGGCCTCAATCTTCTTTCCAGTGCTTATATATTTGGAGAAGATGTGGGGTTTGGTGGTGTCTTTCGTTGCACTACTGGACTTGCTGACCGGTTTGGTAAACACAGAGTTTTTAATACTCCTCTCTGTGAACAGGTAATTAAGTTTTTTTTAATAGTAAAAAAGTAGAATGTGCATGTTTATACAACTATTATGGTTTGATCTACAAAAGGCAAAACATCTAGAATGCCATGAGATTTGAGCAGGCATGGTTTGATCTAATAAGTAATAACCAGTTTTTGACATGTTAGGGCATTGTTGGATTTGCAATTGGTTTGGCGGCAATGGTAGGGTTCACCTATCAAACTCAAGATTATTGTTTATACTTTATATTGATCTAAGTTTCATGTACAATTTATTTTGTTCCGTAAATTTGTAGGACAACCGAGCGATAGCAGAAATTCAGTTTGCGGATTACATCTTTCCTGCTTTTGACCAGGCATGCATTTTCCATCAGCTGAATACTAAGGCCTGTTTAGAAATGGTTATTCCAGCTAAAATGGCTGAATGTGCTGAACTTTTATAAAGTAAAGCATTTGGTAACGTCCATTTCAACCAGCTCAGTGACTTATTCTGCTTATTCTAAGCAGAGTAAGCCATCTTTAGCTACCAAAAGGAGCCTAAGTACCGTTATTTACACCGCATTTGGTTGATGTCTCGCTATCTACTTCCACAGATTGTGAATGAAGCTGCAAAGTTTAGATATAGAAGTGGTAACCAATTTAACTGCGGAGGTAATCGAGAAAACTGGATTGAATTTATTTTTAATCCTAGTGCTTGTAAAATATACATGAATTGCTTCTATACTTCTAGGATTAACCATTAGAGCACCCTATGGGGCTGTTGGACATGGTGGGCATTACCACTCCCAATCCCCGGAAGCCTTCTTTTGTCATGTTCCCGGTATTAAGGTACTCTCTGCAGTTTATGCTTGTACTTTAGGTTCTTCTGTGTCACTCTTCGTCACCTTTTTTCGCAATATTATATTCGAACCATATAATCAGTTCAAACTGAGGCACTAAAAACCGGATTGGTGATTGGAATCGATTAAGGTACTGCTTCATTGTTCTGTGTAGGCCAGCTGGTATGTAATTTGGTTGAGCGGGGATGAATTGAATAAAACAATATGTAGTTTATTTTTAATCTTACACACACATACACACATATTTTTTCTTTGTAATGGCACTCAAGCTGAGGGAAAAATAACACACGTTAAAAAGAAGCACTACGTATTCATGATCTAAAATAAAAATAAAAATAGAACCTGTCTAACATATTCATGATCATAATACCAATTTATAGTAAAATATTACGAATAATATAAAATGATCTAGTAAAGTATTCAATAAAATCCAACAAAATCCGTAGTCAGAATGAAGATCATAAACCGAGCAATATACTATGTATGAACATTATATAATAGCAAATATTACATATGCCTATTAAATTTAAAGTTTATTAAATTGAAGAATGAAAATTAGGGTCATCAATATCTAGTAGTCTGAAATATGCATAAATCCAATACCAGATCCACCATCACTAGATTCACTAATATAATATATTTTGCTTGATATATTATCTTCCCAATTTTTTCCCTACTATATTTTCTATTTCCAATTAATAGTGGATGAATGTTGTTCGTGACAGTAATGGTAGCATTGGTTATTAACCAGGAAAATAAAAAAAATAAAAAATAAAGAGAAAAGTGTCAAATTGGCCCTCGTACTGTGTAAGGAAAGTCATTCAGCCCCACACTTTAAGTTTCATCAATTACGTCCTCCTACTTTGTAATCTTTGCCAAAACCGACTTTTAGCAGGTAACCCTTACCTGTGCTAATGTGGCGCACGTGAGGCCTGACATGTTACACATGTGGCGGGCCACGTCACCTTCCCCCCTTTTCCTTTTCTTTTCATCTTTCCTTTCCTTTTCTTTTTCGGTTTCCTTTTCCTTTTTTCCTTTTCCTCTTTCTTTCTCTTTCCTGTTCGTCCTTTCTTCTCCCTTACGCTGATTCTTCCATGGCTGGCATCAATTTTTCCTCAAGTTTTCATCAATGACTCTAAGTTTGGGTGGCTCTTTAACATCCATGTTCCTCCTTCCATTCTTTCCTTCTCCATTCCCTTGGCGACGGCGATGGCGACAAACCCAATTCAAGAAGACCTCACTTTAACATCGGTGACGCCGTGACGGAGACATTGTGAGTTAGAGGAAGAAGAAATTGAGATTTTTTACCTTGCTGGACTGGGTTGTTTCTTCGCCGGAAGTTGCTGGGGGAAAGCTAATTACATTGTAAAGGAAGAAAAATGAAACAAGCAAGTTAAAAATAAATTAAGGTGGTAGGGAGAGGGGGAAGGGGAGAGATGGAACTTTTGGGGAGGATGAGTGCAGGTAAGGGGAGAGATGGAACTTTCCGTACAGAGTATGAGGGTCGATTTGACACTTTTCTCTTAAATAAAAGAGTACCTTGCACATGAAAATTAGAGAATAGAGAATGAAGAGTCGCAGAAGCAGAGATGTAAGGAATGTGATTCTCGAAAAAGAGAAGTGCATTCGGAAAACTTTTAAGAGAAAAATGGGTGATGTTTTATTTGTTTTTGAAGTGGGCACAACTTATTTATTTAAAACCTGAAAAGGCAATTGCTTACGCCTCAATCCTGCCTGGTTGCATATGCCTTAAGGCGTGTGCCTCATCCGATAAGGTGTAGCCTCAACATTGCATAATTTTGGAGGTAGTTGTAGTACACTAGTACATAAGTGCCCCCAAAATTGCTGAGGCGGACCTCAAGGCATAAAGGCATTGTGCAATTATGAACATTGACCTCTATCCACTACAACAGTACAACCAGTCCATTTTTAAATTATATAGCGTTCGTCATCTACTAATAATTGACATTGTTCAAACCCACTAAGATGGCGGGTTTGGATTTATTCCTTTTCCCCTTTTTATTATTATGTATCTTTTGTCCCTTTTGTTATTTTTTGTGACTGCTCTGACTATATTACAAACAACTGCACAAACTTCACTAAATCCCATTAATATTATTTGAAGTATTTATATTGTTTCCAAATTCCGATAGCCATTACATGCTTGAACCAAAAGCCCCCTCATGGTGTTAAAATCAGTTTTTGAAAACTGACTGACACTAAAAGTCTCATAAGCTGTATCATGTTTGAAGAGCAATGTACCTACCTATGGAATATATATCTGTTTTATTTTAACTAACGTATTTGGGTAAATTTGACGTGCAATCTCATTTGAGGTTGTTATCCCACGGAGCCCACTCCAAGCTAAAGGCTTATTGTTGTCAAGCATTCGTGATCCTAATCCGGTTATCTTTTTTGAACCAAAGGTGAGCCTTTCTCTTTTCTAAAACTGAAGATGTGTTTGGCACCAAACCATTGAATTATATTTGAAATCTGGTGTTATTCCTAGAGTGTGTTTGCGAGTTGGGTTTTGGATGGGAAGGGACATGTTGATGCATTTTATTTTTAAAATCAAGCAAGAAACTTTATATTATTTGTGGTAATAATTAAATGAATAAGATATTCAAATTTAACTAATTTATCATTTTATATCTTTTGTTTTTAAAAATCATTACAACGAACACCTGATTTTTAAAATAAGCCACACCCCTACTTCCCCTCCAATATCTAACTCCAAACATACCCTTTATGAATCCCAGTGGCTTTACCGCTTGTCTGTGGAAGAGGTTCCGGAAGGCGATTACATGTTACCTCTTTCTGAGGCAGAGGTAACATTCCATTTACTTTCTTTGTCAATATTAAAACTCTGAAATTCAAGGTGAGAACTATCAAATTCTAGATATAAACAGGTTATTAGAGAAGGTAGTGATATAACACTTGTTGGCTGGGGTGCTCAGCTTTCCATCATGGAAGAGGCCGCCATCAATGCTGAAAAGGTAGAGAAGATTTATGCTCCAATAATATACTTGATTGGATTTTTCTGCCACCATCACTCACTATGAGGAGATATTAGATTTTAATGCTTGTTGGGTGCCCTCTGTTTTTGTTTTATCGTGTTCATTCTCCTATTCTAATGTGCAAACATAGTCTAATCTGAAATTTATCTCATTAAAGTTGAACTTGAACTTTTTCCTTTGATTCACTAACTAGATGCAATTTGTTCACTAATAAGTGGCTACTTAGCAATCAGAAGTAGGGTATGTTTTGTCAATTTATGACAAAATTAGTTATCAGATAAGTAGGGTATGTTTTGTCAATTTATCACATTTTTTTCTTAATGGAATGTTATTTGAAAGCAAAGGGAGTTTGACTTTATAAACTATTTCAGTGCAGTCATGTCTCATTATAAATTATATTTTCTATGCAAGTGGGGGGGGGGAGTGAAAAACTACGATGAACGGTTGTAGAATTTTCATCTAAATATCTAATTATTTCTTTAGTTATAATTTTCATCATTTGCAATGGAGTCAAAGACTCACTTTTTTTTGGCTTGGGAATATGATGAAATAAAGCAAAATGGCCCACTAAAACTGTCTGAGCTTCTTTGTTAAGAAACATTACTCGATCTATGCAATTTTTGACGCAATTTTCACCCTGGATCATCCAGAAACAACCTCTCCATGATTTAGTACATGGAGCCTTTGCGACACTGGGGTAATGATGATGGTGATGAGTTATAAGAAGGTCACAACAGAAAGGGCATCCCTCCCGTATAACACTGCTTTGTTTTTCTGCGTGATTATAGTGATAAACTATTGTTAGACTAGACCCCCCGAATGCCCCCGATCTCACAACTATTAGATTATTCCCAATTTTGGTCCCCAACTTTGAACTTGCCACTAATGATCTTCCTACCACTTATCCGTCACCACTTTTGCCGGCGGAAAGGATAAAAAAGTTAAGAAATATGTAGTCGTGCTCAAAATTGGAATAGCCTAATAGCCGGTGGAACAATAGTTCAAAATATTATTGTGGACTACTAATTAATTGACACTATAAGTTTCATGCTACCGGCCACAACATAGTTGGGATTAAAGTGTTGATGATGATGAAAGAACCTTAATAAAAAATGAAAGTGAAAATACCTGCAGGATGGGATCTCTTGTGAATTGATAGACCTCAAAACTTTAATTCCTTGGGATAAGGAAACGGTGGAGGCCTCTGTCAAAAAGACCGGAAAGCTTCTGGTGAGCAATGTCCTATGATTTTAGAAGTCGTATTGAAAGCACACATTTCTTCAACAATATAATCTAATTTCTTACTTGTGTAGGTCAGCCATGAAGCTCCTATAACAGGAGGATTCGGCGCTGAAATATCTGCTTCTATACTTGAGCGTTGCTTTTTAAGAGTAAGTTCTGTCTGTGACTTGACGCGCATTCATAAATTTGGTGTAGTCCAACTATCTGCTTAATCTTTTAGCTTAGGCGAATATATTAGCATTTCACCATTGGAAGGCCAAATGGTAAAATCTTTACGACTCACGATCATCTTGCTTAGTATAGAAAAATGCCAACATAGATGGTCTTGATCTACTCTTCATTTCGTGTTGAGCTTTTAGTATTGAAATCCCAAGTCTTAATGCATACAGAGTATTTTTTTTAGGATACTTAGGGAGTGTTTTCCATTGCTAAAAATGTGTTTTTTAACTTTAAGAAAGTTTAAAAACTAGCGCTTTCAAAGAATGTTTAAATTAAGCACTTTAAAGTCGTAAGTAGGTGGAGGGATGCTTTAAACCACTTTTCACTTTCTATATTACACAAAAAGTATTTTTTACCAAACATTTTAACTTTTGCTTTTTTAAAAGCAATTTTCTTCTAAAAACTACCAACTCTATTCCCTACGTTCTCTATTAACTGTGTCACATTCTTTTTTGGGATGTTTTTAATTATTTGTCCCTTTTTTCCCATTTTAGTAAATATTTTTTAATCAAAATATCTTTATACCCTCACTTTTATTACCCTTGCCCATTTTTACTTTTTATATACTACTTTCTCTTTTCTATTTTACTCCGTATGATTTTATCATTACTTTACTCTTCTTAATACTCCCTCCGTCCCACAAAATTCTTCACAATTTGACTTGGATCGGAGTTTATGAAAGTTTAAGAAAGTGGGAACAAAGTAGAAATGTATGGTTGTGCTTGAGTAAGGAAAATGTAAATGAATGGTAGCCACACAAAACATTCCAAAAGGAAAGTGAGAAGAATTTTAAGGGACATAGGAAGTATATTCTCTTCCTACTTTTTCATTTACTCTTTTTAATATATTCTTTTTCCTACTTACTATTTTCTTCTTAAAAACTACAAAACATCCAAGGAGACTATTGATCCTTGGGTTGGGGTTTAGGGACCTGTTTTATCTTTTATCTTTTTGTTTGATTTCCTTTCAGTATTTGTATTTCTTATTTTTCTTTTTCTTTGTTTCCTTGTAACTTCTTTCATTTCATTTTTAATAAAGTTCTGTTTCTTAAAAAAAGACCAAGGAAACTATTAATTAAGAACAGAGGCAGCACTATTTATCACTTTTTCGTATGATCTCTAAAATTAATCACTTTTCAAAAGTAGTATCAAACACAAACACTCTGCCTAACATTTGTTAATGGCTGGCTGTGCAGTTAGAAGCTCCTGTTGCCAGAGTTTGTGGCTTGGACACTCCTTTTCCCCTTGTTTTTGAACCTTTTTATATGCCAACAAAGAATAAGGTCAGTCTTGAAATTCCATTCCTCGCTAAAGGTTTCTTTCTCTGTTTGCCATGTGACTGCTGAAAGTCCTTTTACTTATGTACAGATACTGGATGCAATCAAAGCCACTGTAAATTACTAGTGCGGATGATTATTTTGGTCAATGGATGAAGACATTTTATCTATTTTTTACATTTCCATGGTATTGCAATGTAATGTTTTGGTTTGAACTTGAGTTACTGTACCTGATTTGGCGGTGTGGATAGAGAAGTGTCTCTGCCATCAGGGGAAAATTTATTTTTATTTTACAAATAAAAGTAGTGTTGTGCTGTACATTTTCTCCAAATTATAGGTGCTACATTATTTGTTTAACTTGTTCAGGATGAACGGGAGATATTTTTAAAAAGGGATAATTCCCCAAATAGGATTAAATGAAACTTTAATTGCAAGAATAGGACTATCTTTCTAATCACACCCTTGCTTTGTTTTGATACAATTCATATTTCATTAATAATTTAAACATAAAAGTAATAACATAACATTATTTATAATAAAATGTAAAAAGAAAAACAAAAAATAAATATAAAATAAAATTAAAAAATGTAAAAATTTGAATAAATAAATAAATAAATATATAAATAAATAAATATACAAAAAAATGTTAAAACTAAAAATAAAAATATGTAGACCTCTACTGCGGGTCTGCGGCCTCAACAACCTCCCAGCACCACCATCTCTGATCATCGAAAAATGCCAATATGTCGTAATGCCATCTTGGTGACAGTTTTAGAGAAAAATTTGGCAATTTCAAAGAGTAAAAATGTCATCGTCATGACATTTCAGAAATAAAATGACATTTTTTCCGCCGATCAGATGTGACATTACTGGGAGGTGGCAGAGGCAGTGGGAAAGACCTCCATTATTTAATATATTTTAATTTGTTTTTATCTATTTTTACTTATTTTCAAAGATTTTTTTTTTAAAAAATATTTTAAATCTTTTATAATTTTTACGATATTATTATAAACTATTTTTTTTTTGTTTCTATTACAACTTAAAATATGATTTTTCTATTATGGTAAGGATAGAATACGGAGATAAGTATACTTTAGTTCTATTTATGGAAGATAAACAATATTGTCCTACTTGTATATTTTGGGATTAATTTATTCCTATTTAGGACTGTTTCCCTTTATAAAAACGTAGACAATAGATCACATCAATGTTGGGATAATAAAGTTTATTTCACTATTGCATACATCACTATCTAATCAATGATTTTTCAATAATTATCACGGATTATTTTTTAACAATATTGAAACGCGGAAGGCGCTAGCCGAGTATTGCTCGTGCTGGGGCTTGGTTTGTAGTAGCGATTTCATCCGTGGTTGAGAGTAGGAATATTTCAGCTTTAGCCGAAGCAACAACCGTAAAAATGGCAAAGGAATGAAAAGGAACGAGACCAATAAGGACCAGCGTTAGGATTGTAAACGAATCGAATCGAACCGAATACTTGACTATATTATTCGTATAATTATCAAATATTCGTATTCGTTTAATATTCAAATAGTATTTTATATTTGTATTTGATTCGTTTGGTATATTCAAATTCGAATACTATTTGAATATTCGTATTCAAAAAACATTAAATTATATTATGAAAATAATTAAAACTATCATGTATAATTTGCCCCTTTTACCTCATTTTGATAGTACATATTTCATACCAAACAAAATATACCTACAAGTCACTTCTTAAAATAAAATATCAATATAAATAAATTAATGGAGAATTATACTCTAAAATAAGATATTTTGACTTAGCAAAGTAAAAACATTTAAATTAAAACATGCAAAATACCTATTAGTTTTTGTACATAAATATTATGTAATTGATATTTTTACATTGAATTATATTTATTTATAAGGAGTAATATATATTGTATGAATATATATAGATTTTGGGTTCTTCTCACTTGAACCTTACCCTGTATATGTATATGTACATGTATATGTATATGTATATGTATATGTATATGTATATGTATATGTATATGTATATGTATATGTATATGTATATGTATATGTATATGTATATGTATATGTATATGTATATGTATATGTATATGTATATGTATATGTATATGTATATGTATATGTATATGTATATGTATATATATATATATATATTTTTTGGTTCAAGTGAGAAATGCATCTAATGTGAGAAATGAGAATGAATCTCAGCCATTAGATTCGCGAAGTTGCACTAAAATGATTTGATGTTGCAGTGATATTTAAATTTTGCACATGTTGCACTAAAACTGTTTCATGTTGCACTAATATTTGATGGCGTTGCACCGAAATAGTTTCATGTTGCACTACACACGTCTAATACGGATTTTTCAGAAGTATTTACAGAAATGTCACCGTGCTAGATTGCATATTTCAGTGCATCATCAAATGTCTTTTACTGCAATTTAGTCGAATCCAATGGCTGAGATTCATTCTCATTTCTCACCTAAAGGGTTCTTCTCACTTGAACCTTACCCTACATATACATATACATATACATATACATATACATATACATATACATATACATATACATATACATATACATATACATATACATATACATATACATATACATATAAATATTCGAATATTTTTCGAATCGAATATCATAGTATTTGTATTCGTATTCGAAACTATTCGAATAAAAAAGAGATTTGTATTCGTATTCGTATTCTGCTTACTTGAATTCGAATACACATTTTCGAATTCGAATCGCGAATCGAATCAAAATAATTCGATTCGTTTACAACCCTAACCAACGTGAGATTGATGATTTAGAACAGGTCTACAATCTTTATGTCCTGGAGGCAAAAGATGAAGTATTGATGATTCCTCCCCCTCCTGAACTGCCGCCATGGATTGAATATGGGGCTCAAGTTTGGATTTGGCCACCTGCGATTTTTTGCTTTATATTTGTTTCACAATTTATTATTCTCTCGTTAGACCATTTACCTTGGTTTTGGACGATTTGTTTTCGTGGCAGTCTTGAGATGTCTAGTTTGGTTGTGAAAGGAGTTATGGTCATATGGAGATTCTTAATGCCATTAATGACTTCGAAGTTCCCGTATCTTTAGCGAAATGTTTCGCTCAATTTTGGGTGAACTTTTTCTATGTCTGATCAGGGACTAAGGAGACCCTTTGGTTATAAAGAGTCTAGTGAAGTGGTGAAGACAATGACCAAAAGTCACTAAAAATCTATATTGCCCGTTTGGTGGTCAGCGATTCATGTTGTTTCTTTGGAGGTGTCTGTCTCAGAGTCTGATCCTAGAACGTTTCTTGAGTCTAGATAAAGTTTTTTTTAATATAGGTGGTGCATTCCGAGGTGTTGGATGGTTGTAACTTTTGATTCAATTGGTATTTAATACTCCGTACAAGTTTTCTTTCAAAAACGAAGTTTACTTCGTTGTTAATATGTGTCGAAATCATTTTTGGACTCTCAGTGTAATTATTAAGAACTCACGAGTCTCATATTTCGGGGGGAGGGGGGGGGTATAATTTTGTGTTGTATGGAGTATTTATTTGATTCGATAGATATTACCGGGCATTTGATCATGAATTTGATTGATATTTGATGGACTATTATTGTCTAAGAGCATCTCCAATGCTATAATGTCCACGGTGTACATGTAGCATGAGTGATAGCCACATAATTATTAGCAAATAAATTATTTCTCTCCTTATTTGAATGATTTTAAGCAATTTTGGTAAGTTTTTCCCTGCAATGTCAACTACAATGTCAACATTAGACGGTCTCCTTGACATTGTGGAGAAAAACTTACCAAAACTGTATAAAATCATTCAAATAAGGAGAGAAATAATTTATTTACTAATATTTATGTGGTCATCTTTCATGCCACGTGTGCACCGTACACATTGTACCATTGAAGATGCTCTAAGCTATTCTATTTTATTCGAATAAATTAATCTCATACTTGGTAAAGATAACCTATAAATTGTATATTAAGAAAATATTATTTAGATATAGATTTATTGGACAAATGGTGAACTACGACCAGTATGAGATAGCAAACCCAATCTTACCCAAAAAATTGATCGGATTTACCCTGAAAATTTTCTCATGGATGGGATTACGCAATCTGAAAAGGGGGAACCCGACCCGGTAAACCATCGGTGGGAGGGCAATGAACAAGGCATGGTTAACCTATTTATTTCATATACCCGGACCCGCTCAAAAATCCAAAACTATATATGCATAGTTGCATAGGTACGTATAGTATTAAGACATTGTCTTTTTTGAAGTTAGGGTACTTGATTGGATGTTAATTGAGTTATAGTGTTAATTGACCTTTTTGTGAAAGTAGTAGACATATTTGACATTTTCATTAAAGGGAGGGAATTGAGTCAATAAATATAACATATTTAGAATATTTTCACAATGTTCAATAAAATTCAATAAATATTTGGTCCCTCAGTTATCCCCCGCATTGAAATTTGAGATCCGTATTTCTGAGATTTCAAATTACACCCCCGAGTTGGCCCACTTACATTAAATGTCGTCCCTGCCATTAGAAGTCCAACTAACATCACCCGGTCTTCCATTTTATCAGGGGTAAACACGTAAATTCCCTTCCTTAAAGGTTTAAACCCCTAATTTCATAATTATCTCTTCAACCTTCATTACGTGAAGTCTTTATCATGCTTATCACTCCCAAATCCAAATCCTTTGCTTAAACCTCAAAACTTCTCTGAAAACAAACGTTCCGTTGGACATGGCGCTCGATTTTTTTAAGGTTAGCTTTCCGTTTGAAGGTCCAAGCTGTGACCAAGGAAGGATGACCAGTCGAAGATTAAATGGTTTGAATGTCACTCCGAAAAATAAGACCCCTTGATAAGCACAATAGCTACCTATATTTTATATAGGTAATTATGATTATCTGTACAAATATTCAAAGACAAAGCAGGTATAAATCCCATTTTGAGTAAAAACCGCACAAATACGTCAAAGATGAAGAAACGGGAGTCAACAATCGAAAGGGGCCGAGAACCGACACTTCGGGGTCAACCACGGGCGTAAAACGGAGCGAAAAATGAAGAATTGCAGTGCAGGGGAAAACCGGCACCGGTATACACGTATAACCGGCGCCGGTTTTATTTAAAAAAGCTTTACTACGGTGAACCGAAGATCAACCGGCGCCGGTCGACCCCTATAACCGGCGCCGGTTATGGCCATTTTCAAAATAAATCCAGCTGCGAACGAAAACCGGCACCGGTTTTACCATATAACCGGCGCCGGTTAATCCCGATTCTGCACAAAACATGGAGACGTGCAGAAATATCTTGATGGGAAAAACTCACCTTCCTCATGATCTGATCAAATATATCTTCCATGCCTGATTGTTGGGCTCG